GAGAGAGAGAGAGAGAGAGAGAGACAGAGAGAGAAAGAAACAGAGAGAGAGAGAGGGAGAGAGAGAGAGACCGTTAGTTCTTGGAAACACAGAAGGCTGAGGAACAAGCTTTGCATTTTTTTTAAGACAGTAAATGGCAGGGGCACTGAAAAGAGCAAGCTGATATTAAATCAAGAGATCAGCTCTCATAGTTAATCTGGGTGGCCACAAATATGATCCTATAGGGATGCCAGGCAAATCAGTAGCCACCAAATGATAGCAGATATTAGGATAATAGATACTTAAGTGGTTATTCCTCTCTGTCTCTATGTGACTTTATTTCTCTATATATTTATTTTCTCTTTCTCTTTTTAAATATTATCCTCCCGACGTTTTCTGTTTCTCTATGAAAAATACAACCAATGATCTTCCTTTTACCTGCCTTGCCTGTAATGGGACAAAAGAAGCTCATGGCCAGTGGCAACAGCCAGAATAACATCTGTTTCAGCTTTAGAAGCATATAGTTGAAATGTTAAGCAGAGACTAGCTCAGCTTCTCAGGAAGCATTTGGAGGGCACAGCACAAAAGCCATGAAGAATTTAATTGCAGCTGTCACCACCAAGAATCAAGAGCGTCTTGGGAAGGGGACACTATTGGGGCAAAAACGGTGGCAGGCAGGGGAAGACCCAAGAATATGAAGGTTTAGGTGATTTGTCGTGAAAGAAGCCATCGATGGGGGCAGTGATGTGAGTGGATATACGCTCATGTATTGCCCAGCAATGAACCCACTCCACAATAGCAATCATCAACAACAAAACATGCACAGCGAGAGCTAGACTCTTAGAAGGCAGCTGAGGCTTGGGGGTTGGGTGAGTCCAGAAGCAGAGGAAGGGAGGAGTGGAGAAGGCACAAAAGCTTGGAGAACCCACTTGGTTCTCCTAGCATGGGGAAGCCTTGCTCATTGCAGCCATTTGGGGCTGGGGCTGGGAAACATCCTAAAGAGGGGACTCGGAAAAGGAACTAATCTGAGGCAGCTGTAGCTTGACTCTTTAAAAGGCAGTGTGAATTGGCTGGGGGAACTTGAGGCCGTGCGAATGAGAGAGGGTGGAAGGAGACCCAGTTGCTGCAACAGCATGCTATTGAATCTTTTGGCGACCAGAAGGGATAGCAAAGGCAGTAAGATGAGTGGAATACTTGAGATGGACAAGCAGCACGGGGAGAAATGGCCCAGAGGGACTAACGTGGAAGTCTGTACAGGGATGCCCATGAGGAAAGGTCAGAGAAAGTCCCCCAATCTTCACTACAGTGAATTTAAGCCTGCTAGGAGACCTGGTGGTTAGGAAATGGGCTACAATCCTTTTGGTCAGCAGTTCAAAACCACCTACAGCTCTACGGAAGAAAGACTGGGCTTTCTACTCCCATAAACAGTCTCAGAAATCCACAAGGGGGTCACTGTGAGTCAGCACTGGCTCAATGCGAGTGAGGTTTTATTTCTATTTTGGTATTTACAACAAAATCTGTACCTACTGAAGGCCGTATCTCCATTCATGCATACGGAATTCCAGAGATAAAGCATCTATAACTCCTGAATCAGCGATGAAAACAAAACAAATAAAGATAATCCTGCCCTGTAGTGCTCACTACTACTGGGCAGATTCTCATTAACAGTGACTATCCGGGGCTGAGTGGAACTTCCGGGTCGGATTCCCAGGACTGTGAGTCTTTACAGAAATGGCTGTAACATCCTTCTCCCACAGAGAGACGGATGGGCACAACCCCTGGCCTTTCACTGGACAGATGGATGCTTGATTCCTGTGGCACCAGTTTTCAGAAAATTTTCTCACAAAAAACTAGAATACATAATTTAAAGTGTGTACGTGTGTGCGCGCTCGTGTGCACGCACTTGGGTAACAAAATGGCCTCAACTCAACAAAAAATAGTAAAATACACAAAAACACAAGAGAAGAAAGAACAATCAAAAGGAACACACAAAGAGGAAATTACTCCTATGGAAGTAACACTGTGTTTAACAAAAGCAAAGAGCACACTGAAAACAAACTAGCA